AGGTTACGGTAGATGAGTCGTACTTTAAAGTCGATCAAAGCCGACGTTCGACAAAGTTCTCAAAAACCAAATTTGAAACATTTAGAGATTAGAGATTAGGTTGAAAATCGTAAAAGTAAAATTAAATACTTAATAGATTCAATTTCTTTGATTCCTTTTTGAAAAAAAATGAAATAATTTCCAGTTGGATATGGGTGGAGTGACTGCGAGTTCTCTCCGATGTCTTGTCTTCTCCGTCGTCGTCGCTCTCTTCGCTCGTTTGAAGTCGAAATGAATTGAGAAATCGAAGAAATCGAGAAATTAAGAAATCGAGAAATCGAGAAAATAGAACAAAATAGAACAAAATTACATTGAAATCAAAAAAAAAAAAATGCAAAATTTCCCCATGTCGAACCGCCAGACAAGAAAAATGACAAAATTCAACAAAATTCGCACAAATTAGCGCCTCGCTTCGTGATTTCTTTGGGTATTTTTTACAATTTTTTTCTCCCCAATTTTTCTCCCAATTTCCCGCCCGTTTTTCTGCAAATTTCGACTTCTCTCAGTGAATAAAGTGTTTTTGTTTTTGTTTGGGATTGTGACTACAACAAAAACTTACTTACAACAACTACAACAAAAACTTCTCGCACCGCGCATAGAACAAATCTCATAGTCGTCATTGTTGATGGAGACGATGTCGTCGTATGGGTGTTCGCCCATCACTGGTGTAGCCGGACGGATTGACTGGTTCCGAGGATCTCCTTCACCGTTCCCTCCAACTTCTTTGCCGTCACAAGCTTTGAACGACTGCACATGTTCTTCGCGATTTAGATGATGGTGTCGGGTGGTGGTCGTCGTCTTGACGTTTTGCCTTTTGAGATTGGCTTACAAAAACTTGCAACAACTACAACAAAAACTCACTATTAGCTTTATATATGCTCGTAGCCGTTCCGTTTACGAAATTCAGCCGCTAACGAATGTGGGTATTTCGAAAAAAATGAGAAAAAGTGAGAAAAAATGTGTTTTTTTATGAGATGAGCTTATATATTAGGTTGATGCAAAAGTCTTTTTCATTTTTTTCGTACTTCCGTTAAAAAGTAACAAATGCACGAATTGAACAACGGTTTATTGCATTCGAATTGGCTTGGCCAAAATTGGCTAACAAAATTGGCCAACAAAACTGGCTTATTTCTTAAATTTCTTAGTTTATTTACGCAACTTGTAAGTAAAACTTGTATGCCTGATGTTCAGTTGACTGTTAACTTTGTTTATTAGTTTATACTTGAAGAAATAGACTTGATTAATCCAGCTTTTAAACTAGTTAACGGTTAACAGTTAAATAGTTTAGTTTCTAGTATGTTGTTTCGTATTGTTTCTAGTTTTAAACTGGTTTAAACGCACCGGTGTCTGGCTACAGACCGGATAGTATCATAATTTAATCACTAATCAATGAAGAAACAACTATTCGATACAAACAAAATAGAAACACGTATTGTTTCTAGTTTTAAATTGGTTTAAACTTACCGGTATCTATTAGGTTGATGCAAAAGTCTTTTTCATTTTTTTCGTACTTCCGTTAAAAAGTAACAAATGCACGAATTGAACAACGGTTTATTGCATTCGAAAGGCCAAATTATTTTTCTGCAAAATGACATTAAAACGAGTTTAAAATGCCTTATGTCTAGATTTTTTTGAGAGCCTGAAGTCGGGTAGTCAAAAAAGGGGACGGCTCGATGATGCATTTTAGACGCTTTAGCTAAGGAAACCAATCTTGATGTTAATAAATAAAAGATAGAGCACAAAAAGTTCGCTATTTTTTTGAGATTTTCAGAGAAATTGATTCAGCCAATTTCTTTAAAGAGGTTTTTATAGATTTTTATGAAAAACCCGTTTTCACTCTCGAATTTGCTTGAAAGTGAACCGAAATTGATTTAAAAAGATGGGAAATTCAACAATAAACACTTTTCATTTAGAGCAAACCATAGGTTAATTGATGACTTTTTTATTTTTCAAAAGAAGTACGAAAAAAATGAAAAAGACTTTTGCATAAAACCTAATAGAAAGACTCATTTTTCTCATTCGAAAAATGAGGAAATGAGGAAAAGGGAATTTTTGAAGCGCTGAATACCCACGGAAACACATTTCAGCCTTCAATCCCGGCAATAAACCTAGCAATTCGAAATTCGAGTGCAAAAAAGTCACATTTAAGTGGAGCTTGAGCTGAAAATGGTAAAAAAAATCGACCCCTCCGGACCACCCTGGATCCTCAACGGTGCGCCAAATCGGCTCCGTTTACGAGGTGAAGACCAAGGTACTTTGTGCATGAGAAATTGTAAACAAAAAGCCTTCTGGCACACTAGAATAGACAGTGTGTTCTCAAAAAAAAATTTTCTACTGAACCAAATGAACTAATTTCAAAAATTTATTATAAAATACATGTATTATGAACATTTTTTATGTGAATGACTTTTTGATTGGATGCCCAGAAATACCCACATTCGTTAGCGTTCGCTGAATTTCGTAAACGGCTACGAGATATAGTTGCGTAATTGAACCGGATTAAGCTGAGAGCACAATAAGCTCAATCTGTTCTTTGTGCGCTTCAGCAATCGTTCGCCTTCTGTTAGAAGTAATTTGGGTAATTACAAAATTACGAACTTTAATTGCAAACTTGGGTAATTAAACCGGCCGCGAGCGTTTCCCGTTGTCTTGATCCGGGCCAGTGTGCCAGACGCCGCTTTTTCCTTAGAGCGACATGAAGAGAACGCACAAATGAGAGCTTGAATGGAAGGCGGCCTGTGCGTTCTTTTCCTGTCGCTCATAAGAAAAAGCGGCATCTGGCACACTGGCCTGGATGAAGGTAACCGAAAACGCCAATCGTCCGGTTTAATTACCCAAGTTTTTGGGACTGCTTACTTTTGTTGCCTAATTTTCGTGTGTCCTTTCCTTGTCGCTCGTAAGAAAAAGCGGCATCTGGCACACTGGCCTGGATGAAGGTAACCGAAAACGCCAATCGTCCGGTTTAATTACCCAAGTTTTTGGGACTGCTTACTTTTGTTGCCTAATTTTCGTGTGTCCTTTCCTTGTCGCTCGTAAGAAAAAGCGGCATCTGGCACACTGGCCTGGATGAAGGCAACCGGAAACGCGGATCGTCCGGTTTAATTACCCAAGTTTTTGGGGAAATGCTAAACCTAGAGTTTCCACTGTGCTTTTTGAGTCGATTTTCAATTTTCTTTCAAAACTTTCTCAAAACGATAATATTTATTAACTTATCATCGAAAAACGCACAAATCACAACAGAAATTGAGTGTACTTTCATATTGTTGAGTCAAAGTTTTACCGTAATCTCAAATTTTCAAAGAAAAAAAGTTCTTTTTGGGTATAGGCAGCATTAAAATGAGGAAAAAAAAACCCACAAAAATTTGGTGATACTTACAAAAAATTCACAAAAAAACCCGTGAAATTCAGAAAATGAAAAAAAAAGTCTGCAAAATTATGCCTAAAATTGATGAAAATTAAAACTTTTAAAACTTTTAGAACTTTTAAAAGTAAAAAGCAAAAAAGCTTTTTGCTTTTTTAGCTTTTTGTGCTGTAGAATAAAGAATGTGAATTTAATTTTCAAAAAAAAAAAAAACCCTTAAAATGCGTTTTTTTCTTCGCCTAAAAGAGCGTAATCAAGGAATTTTTTCGTTTTTTTTTTTTTTTCAAAAAGGCATATTTTGCAAAAAGATTGGGCAAATTTTAAAATTGAGAAATTGAGGATTTAACTGAGAGCTTAGCTGAGAGTTTAGCTGAGGATTTAGCCGTGCATTTAGCTAACAGCTTAGCTGTGCATTTAGCTGAGAGTTTAACTGGGAATTTCACTCTAAATTTGAACATTTTTCTCTAAAAAAACACTGAGCAATGGGAATTTTGAACAAAGTTTTTGTGGGATTTTTTGTGGAGGAGATTTTGATTTGATTCTTTTTTGTTTTTCGCTTTTTTCGCTTTTCGTTTTTCATTTTTTAGGCATTGAAGAGATCGTCGAGTGAAAGGAGAACGGCTGATGGCTGGAAATTCGGGAAATCTTTATGAGAATTGCTCTTGAGATGATGAAAATAGAGATTGGCTTAAAAAACGGGCATTACAATAGTCTAGAAAGTCGCTAGGCTTTAGAAAGCGTTAGAAAACGTTAGACAACTTTAGAAAACGTTAAAAAACGTTAAAAAAACGTTAAAAAACGTTAAAAAAACGTTAAAAAACGTTAAAAAACGTTAGAAAACGTTAGAAAACAAATCCAGTCTAGAGTACGGTGGTTTTTAAAGCTTTAAGTTCACTGTTTTATTTCCAGTTTTAAGTCTATAATTTTAAGCCTCATCTTTACTTTTTATTAGGTAGAAGGAGGAAGGAGGGGGGAGGGAAGGAAGGAAGGAAGGAAGGAAGGAAGGAAGGAAGGAAGTAAGGAAGGAAGGAAGTAAGTAAAATGGTGCCGTAAATACTGTAATAGTACCGCACCCCCATAATGACGGTGCGGAGTGTTGCGTAGTCTAGCTTTGAACGAGTTTTTCTCGACACTGGCTTATGCTACAATGCTCGCTTTAATATCAAAAAATAGCCCTGAATTTCAGCTATTTTTTGATACCTAAACGAGCATTTTAGCTTAAACCAGTGTCGAGAAACACTCGTTCAAAGCTAGACTACGCAACACTCCGCTTAATTATGGGGGTGCGGTACTATTACAGGATTTACGGTAAGTAAAATGTTAAGGTAAATCGGTAAAATGTTAAGGTAATTCAGTAAAATGGTAAGTACTCACCTTTAAGGCATAAAGTCTTTGTTTAAAGTCCGCAGAAGAGAGGCTTCTTTCATCGACTTTCTCCTCGTTCATTTCGCTTTTAATCGGCATTTGTGGAACCTTGAAGACACTCGAATTTTCGTAAACAATTGAGAGTCGAGGTTGGGAGAAACTAAAGAAAAAAAACAATGAATTCATCTTTTTAGCTATGCAATTTGTAATCCAAAATCCAAAATCCAAAAATTTACATCTTGATCTTCCTCCACGCCGATCCATGAGCACTTTTCTTTGACTTGAACTCTAGCATGACTCCTGATCGACATTTCTCCAAGCGTCGAGCGTGGCCAACGAGTTGAGCGTGATGAAACGATGAGTAGTATGGATTTTTACCTAATTTATACAAATTAGTCTTATTAAAAGGGTCTATTTGTGGGAAACAAGTGCTATAGGAAGCCTAAGCCTAAGCCTAAGCCTAAGCCTGAGCCTAAGCCTAAGCCTAAGCCTAAGCCTAAGCCTAAGCCTAAGCCTAAGCCTGAGCCTAAGCCTAAACCTAAGCCTGAGCCTAAGCCTAAGCCTGAGCCTGAGCTTGTACAATAATGTACAATAAGTACAATAATGTACAATTAGTACAATAATGACAAGGAATTCTTTAATTCTTTCAAATCTTCTTTTCTTACCCAACGGGAAATCCGAAGGCAGCTCTTTCAACATTTTCTTCCAAATATCCCCCGATTTTCGATCTTTTCGATGCGAATTTGCGTTCGCTGGTTGAATGTGAGTGAGGCGAACGTGATCTTCTAACTGAAAGTAAACAGGGAAACTATATTTTATCTCTAGAACTATTTTATCTAGATCTAGATCTTAATCTTGTAAAGATCTTTCATAAAGTGTTCAAAAGCAACAATTTTTCGAAAACCAATCAATCTCTTCGTTTAAAAACTCGTTTTATAAAAATCTAATGTTAAAAAAGAAAGAAAAATATAAAAAAAAACAATTTTAACAAGATCTAAGTCACTTTTATTTCAAAATTGTTGACTTTCCTTTGTTCTAAAAAGATAGAAAGTTGTCTGGAAAGCGGGCGCTGTGCTCTTAAGCAGATAGAAAGCAGATAGAAAGATAGAAAGCAGATAGAAAGATAGAAAGCCTATCTCTTTGATAGGCTACATCGAGTTTCTCACGAGCTTATGTTCAATTTTCTTGAAAGAAACAAAATCGAAATATGATTCCGAACATTTTTAAGTCCCATAAGTTTAAAAACTGGTAGATAATGAAGAAAATAACCAAAGAATCATTTAAAGAAGAATAGCTAGATCTGACCTAAAGACGAATAACTAGATCTGACGTCAGATCTGAGCCTGAAGAACTAGATCTGACGTCAGATCTGAGCCTGAAGAACTAGATCTGACCTAAAGACGTCAGATCTAGTCATTCGTCTTTAGGTCAGATCTAGTTATTCTTCTGACCTCTCATCTGAATTTAGTGATCCAATGAATCAATTTTTCGCACAAATTTAGTAAACAGTAATAAAGAAGTGAACGAATTTCCAATTTGACAGATTTCGACTAATTGAAAAAAAAAAGATTTCAAGAGAGGGGATTGAACCCTTGATCGTTCTCTTTTCGCTTTCAATGCTCTAAGCACTGAGCTATGCAGTACCTTGACTAGCTAGGAAAAAAAAGGAGATACAAAGAGGACGAAGAAGAAAAAGAGAAATACTAGATCGTTTTTTCCCCAAGCGGGATTGAACCCTCGATCGTTCCCTTTCCGCTTTCCAATGCTCTAACCACTGAGCCTTACAGCACCTTAGTGGGGCAAGAGAAAAAAGGAAATACAAGGAGGACGAAGAAGAAAAAGACAAATACTCGAGTCATTTTTTTTCAACTTTCTTGACGATTTTTTTTATAAACCAATTTTGAGAGCGTTAACAACAAAACGTAAACAACTTTGAAACTTTGAAGGTCCCATAAATATTGAACACTTTGTCTTTAAGCGAATAGAAGTGAATAGAAACGAATAGAAGTGAATAGAAGCGACTTTCTAACACCGTAAAACAGCTCTCAATATCGTTTTCCACAAACCTGTCGATTGGTGTGAAATCTGGCATTACATCCCTCCAAAATGCACTTGTAGGTCTGCGCTCCTTTTGCGTGTCTTGTTCGGAAATGATCTCGAAGCCATTGATACTGAAAATGCTTGCTTTTTCTTTAAATTTAGCTTTAAATTTAGCTTTAAATTTAGCTTTAAATATTGCTTTAAATATTAATTCAACTATAAATCTAAATCTTTAAATGAAAAAAAAAAGAAAAAAGCCATGCAAATCATTCTAATCTTTCTTGCCACTAATTTTTACCTGTTTGACGATTTTGAAGTTGGTCTAGAAGTGGAAAAAAGTGACAAATTTAGTTCTATTTAGTTCAATTTAGCTCAATTTAGCTCAATTTAGCTCAATTTAGCTCTATTTAGCTCTATTTAGCTCTATTTAGCTCTATTTAGCTCTATTTAGCTCTATTTAGCTCTATTTAGCTCAAAAAACATCAATTTCTACTTATTAATCTTAAATCTTTCTTTTTTCCCAAACCTTTCTATCAGAATCGCCTCTTGTCAAGCACATTTCGCAATCAGCCCATTGACATCCAAGTGGATCAATCTAGAAGTTGAATTTTTGAAGTTTGAGGCTTGAAGTTTGAAGTTTTGAAGTTTTTTTGAGGTTTGTTTAAAGTTTGTTTAAAGTTTCTTTGAAGTTTCTTTGAAGTTTACCAAAGTCTACAAATCTTAATCCATAAATAATTAGCATATCTACTTTCTCACTCTGTACTTTGTGCTTTTAGCCTTTTCCTAAACCAATCTACTTTGGCGCACATTGAAATCAGAAGATCAGAAAGATCAGAAAGGTCAGAAGATCTGAAAGATCAGAAAGATCAGAAGAAAAAAACAAAGAGAACAAGACATTCAATCAGTTAAAGGAATCGGGCTAGATTGAAGGATTAATGGTAAGTTAAGAAGTAAAGCAAAGCCATGAGCTCTACCAATCAAAGCCTAAGCCTAATCCAGGGTCCAGGGCCATGCAAGCCATACAAGCCAGGGTCCAAAACCATGCAAGCCTTGATGCAAACCAGGGTCAGAAGCTAGAGTCCAGGGCCAAGCCAGGGTTCAGGTCCAGGAGCTAGGGTCCAGGGCCAGGATCCAGGGTCAGAATCAAAGCCATGAGCTCTAGCAATCAAAGCCATGAGCTCTACCAATCAAAGCCTAAGCCTAATCCAGGGTTCATTAATGGCAATCAGTACGCTAGAGAAGGTGTGTTTACGGTTTTCCGTATAAAGTAGAGTTTTTGTTTTGTAGTTAGTTAGATTTTTCATTTTCTAACAAAACAAGCATCCAAAATTGTCATTTAAAGCTCGATTTCTCGACTTGACTTGATTCAAATCTGAATCGAACTTATCCTTAAGCTGTTTGCTCAAGTTGTAACAGCTTAAGTTGTTTAAAAAGTTTAAAAATAGCACAAATCTGTGTCCAAATACTTATTTCTTTCGAAATTACTCGATTTTTAAGCTATTTTTAGCTATTTTTGGACTATTTTTCTTTTACAGATAACAAAATGCTTTGTTTATTGCTCTCAACCGAAATCTGAATCCATTTCTTTACCTCATCCGAATCTGAATCGATTCCTTGATCTGAGCATTGCACCGGTGATGAACGTCTCTTTCGCAAAATTTGTTTTAATGAGATTTCTGATGAGACAGATCCCTCTCGAGATTGCGAAGAGATTCCACTCGTTGATGGAGTCGCCGAACAGAAAGTGCTCAATGGAACGATGTGTTCCTAAAGAGAGAAATGTTTTGTCAACTTTGTCAACTTTGATATCGAATTCTAATTTCTTTACAAGACAAGACAAGATAGTTTCGGTACTTTTGCCTCTTACGCCTACCAATTACTCGCCTACCAACTACCAAACGCCTCTTAAGCATCGTAAAATTTGCATACGAACGATTTTATCTTCTCTCAGAAGATAAAAAAAGAACATTTCTTATTTTTACTTTTAACACGATCCGACTCATCGAGCTGTACTAGTGACGATCATTTTTAGCATAAACTCAAGTAGATACGTACGTACGTACATAACGTTCGAAAGTACGCACAATACGTCCGAAAGTACGTACAATACGTTCGAAAGTACGCACAATACGTCCGAAAGTACGTACAATACGTCCGAAAGTACGTACAATACGTCCGAACGTCCATACAATACGTCCGAACTCTCCAATACGTCTGACAACTAACAACAGCCTTAGCTTCTTTGCCAAAAACTCACATTGATCACATGATCATATAGCTGATTTGTCCCTTCACTTCCATGCCCACAATCTGCCCATTGACATTTCCCATCGTAATCGCTCATCTCCAATGCTTTTCGTCGCTTTAATGGCAACGATTTGCGATCCTTTGAATGCGCTCGTTTTGAGGATGATTCTGCAAATTTACAAATCATTACAAATCAATACATTTTATACTTCGCTTAACAAATCTTTGTGGATATCCACAAACGTGCACCACACGAGACTTGGGTAATTAAACCGGAGGGCAAACGTTTTCGGCCCCGTCATCTATCGGGGCAGTGTGGCAGACCTCACTTTTTCTTACAAGCGACATGAAAGGTACGCACCTCGGGGAGCGACAGGGAAAAACACACAGGTCCTGTTTGTGCGTACCTTTCATGTCGCTCATTGGAAAAAGCGGCGTCTGGCACACTGTGCCGGGATAGGGGCTACCGGGAAGGTTCTCGGCCGGTTTAATTACCCAAGTTTTGTTGCGAGAAGGGAATACGATTGCGGGAGAACACAAAGAAGTTTCAGTAGTTCATTTAATTCTTCGGGTGGCTCACCTGGTTCTTTTCGTTGTTCAACATCGGCCACTTTCTCTCGAATCTCCTCCTCGATTCTCGTTATCACAATCACTTTCCCAATTTTCGTCTTTTCCTCTTCAAATTCTTGTGTAATCTCCTCAATGGATGGAATCGAGTTTCCCGACTCAGAAATCGTATCTTTCATCTCATCCTTTTCCTCTTTTTCTTCAACTTCTTCTGGTGTCACTGGTGGGGTTGGTTCAATCGATTCAACACTGATAATGAGTTGATTTTTCTGTGGAATCGGCTTTGGGAGATCCCATTTCGGGTCAATTATCTCCGATTTGATTGAGGGAAGATCGATCTCCATCTCGCATTCTCGATTCAACTCGGGTGGCGGAGTGAGGATTGGTGGTGGCTGAAAGAAAGATTTTATTCAATAGCTATTATTCCACATTTCAATAGCTATAGCTATCAGCTATCAGCTATAGCTATCAGCTATCAGCTATCAGCTATCAGCTATAGCTATTGAACAGCTCAATAGCTTTTCTTCAGCTTTACAGCTATCAAATTTCTTAGACAAAATCCATAAAAAGTTCCGGATTGGGCTCGAACCACGATACTCAATTTGAGAGGCGAGGACTTTAGCCACTGCGCCAAGGGGATAAGGAGGAGTGGTGTCAAAGTTGAGACTTATTTTTCCTTTCTCTCCCAACCTCATCCAAATCCTCATCCTCTAAACTCATGCTCGGTTGTGCTTCCAATTTTGGGCAATCCATTTGTGGGATGATCTCCGATTCGGATGAAGCTTGAGACTAAATAGATAAATTATAGATGAATCATAGATAAATCATAGATAAATCAGAATACTGTCATATTCTAGATTCAAATTCTAGATCCAAATTCTAAATCCAAATTCTAAATCCAAATTCTAAACTCTGAAACCTTATCATCCTCACTATCGGCATGGCTTTCGGTGGGAGTTGGCGGGAAATAGAAAAAATTCTGATTGTTTGTGGGGTTTGGAGTTTGCTGAAAGTGATCGGCTTATAATATTCATTTCATTTAAGACAAACCGTCAAGTATGGCTTAAAAGCTGACGAGATGGCGTAAGGGGTTTGTTGAAAAATCGGATGAAGAGAAGGTATCATTGCAGGATGAAGAGGCATTAATTGGGGAAGATACTGGAATCTCTTTCATTAGATAGATCTTCTTTAAGATATCCTTAGAATTTTTAGTTAGTTTAAACTAGTTTCAACTAAGAGGTAAAACCAGGATCCAGCCTAGTTTCCTGGATTTACAACCGTCAGCTCTGGACCTGGACCAACCTGGCCAAGACCTGGACCGATCTGGTCAAGATCTGGACCAACCTGGCCAAGACTTGGACCACCTGGGGAAGATCTGGACCAACCTGCCCAAGACCTGGACCAATCTGGACGAATTAGAAGCCAAATTGGGTCTAGTATCTTGACTTTGAACACTTTAAACACCCACCTCTTGCTGCCCGTTGAACATTTGAGCTTTTGGATGTGGTAGAACTTGAACGAGACAATTCTGACCATTTTGAATATGAATTGGTAAGGGTAAACGGTGATGAATTGGATGATTTAAAGGGTGGAGTGGATGGAGATGAGGATGCGGAGGGAAATGAGTGGATGAGGATGGAGTGGGAGGGTAGATTGGCGAGAGAACGGGCACACGACTTTCACTCAGCGATGATGGGCCGCTGGGTCCTGAAGATTGTTTTATAGATTGTTTTATAGTATTACAGGTCTCCCAAAAAACCTATTCCAACTCACCTGTCAAATGAAAATGTGTGGGATTGACGTAAGAAAAGTGTGCGGAGATTGGTGAGCATGTTGATGAAGAGATCGACCCTCCAAGACTGCCCATCGAGGAGAAAAAGAGGGAATGGGCGAGGAGGAGATCCCGTGCTCCACCTAGTACACCAAGTAAATCAATTGTGGAAAAGATCAGAAGAAAAAAACAAAGAGAACAAGACATTCAATCAGTTAAAGGAATTGGGCATATATTGAAGGATTAATGGCAAGTTAAGAAGTAAAGAAAGACCATATCAAAGCCACGAGCTCTACCAATCAAAACCATGAGCTCTACGAATAAAAGCCTAAGCCTAAGCCAGGGTTCAGGGCCATGCAAGCCATACAAGCCAGGGTCCAGGAACATGAAAGCCTTGATGCAAACCAGGATCCAGGGTCAGAAGCTAGAGTCCAGGGTCGGAAGCCAGGGTTCAGCTCAAGGAGCCAGGCCCAGTGCCAGGAGCTCTAGGGTTAGAAGTTAAAGTCTAGGGTTAGAAGCCAGGGTCCAGGTTCAGGAGCCAGGGTTCAGGGGCAGGGTCCAGGGGCTAGGTCCAGTGCCAGGAGCCAGGCCCAGTGCCAGAAGCCAGGGTCCAGTGCCAGAAGCCAGGCCCAGGGCCAGAAGCCAGGGTCCAGGGCCAGGAGCCAGGCCCAGAGCCAGGAGCCAGGCCCTAACCCTGATTCTTTTTGCGAATCAAATCTACAGTAAAGCCAGATCAAATCACGTCAATAAAGTCGACCAATAAAGCCCTAACCTTGCCCACACAAGTCAAAACCCATCAAGAATTAAGTACATCTCATAACTTCAGGATTCCAATCCAAATGACTGAAAAAGCCAGTAAGATAAAAAGTGAACAAGCTAAAACCAATCTCTGAACATATTTGAAGAGATTTAAAACTCGAAGAAGCTTGCCAAGAGAAAGATCAAAACGTGACCAAAAATCGGAGAATTTTTCCACAAAACTCTTCCCTGTTTTACGTCAAAAATCGGCATTTTATCGTCTTATCAAAAAATTTTACTAATCCCCTTTATCCAGAAATCCTCTTAAAAAACACAAAAAAATTAAGTTTCCATCAATTTTTCTCAAATTTTGTCTCAAACATCACAAATTTTTTTGATGACTAAGTGTGGTTAGATTAGAAATTTAGCCAAAAAAAAAACAAAAAAACTCATCAATTTCAATCTCCAAAATTTGAATTAGAAAGAGAAAGGTCAAAAAGTGAACGAAATCGGAGATTTTTTCCACAAAACTCTTAACTTTCTTTCCTTTCATTGACCAAATATTTCAATTAAACAGCTGTTTTTTTTTTTGTAGCAGATGGAAAATTGATTCAAATCTTTTTTTTTTTCACTTTTCACCTTTCATAAACGCATCATAAATGGACAGATGGCATTTTGGAGGGGCCAATTTGAAAGTTCTAAAGAAAGTTTTGAAAAACGAAAGAAATGCTAATTTTTAAATGAAAATTTATGCAAAAGAAGAAGTTTATGCAAATTTGAATTATTTAAAAAGGAAAAAAAGATTTAAAATAAAGACCTTTGGGTGCGTGCCTTTCATGTCAGTCAGAGGAAAGTAAGCGGTGTCTGGCACACTGCCCCAGCGAAACTTGGGTTTTTAAACCCGGAAATGGTTGCCTCACCCGGGTTTAATTCCAGGTCCAGTGTACCAGAAAGGAAGCGAATGTCAGAACGCTCAATTGTTAGAGCGAAACTTGGGTTTTTAAACCGGAAGATGGTTGTTTCTAGCCGGCTTTATCTGGGCCAGTGTGCCAGAAGGCAAGCGATTGTGAGAACATACAAAGAACAAATTCGCAACAAATGAAACTTGGGTAATTAAACCGGAAGGTGGCTGTTTCACGCCGGCTTTATCAGGGCCAGTGTGCCAGAAGGCAAGCGATTGTGAGAACGTTACAAAGAACAAGTTTTCAATATGTGAAATGAAAAGATAAAAGATAAAAGCCAGAAAAGGCGGTTTGGCTAGACCAGAATTGGCTAGACTTTTCCCTATTGAAACCGAGCTGTCAAAAAGCGCAAATCTTTGGTCAGTTTTCGCTCAAAAATCGAGCTAAAGTAGGAAATTTTCCCAAAAAAACGAAAAGCTTTTCAATAATTTACCCAAAATGTCCCATGGGAATCGGTCAAAAAAAATCAATCTTCAACTCAAATAATTGATTGGAGAATGGTTTTCTTTTTGGGGCGAAAAATTAGAGAAATTTTTGATGAGAGAAAGTGATAGCGAAAGATTTTACGTCTTTCCCCCCTTTTCCTCTTTTCGCGCAATTTTTTCCCCGATCAAATTCCATCAAAAATTATGTGAGAATGAAAGATTTGTGAAAGAATTTGAAGTTCACGACATAAAAGGGCGCTTTTTATCCAAACGACCACTTGTCTCCTTGGCGCAGTGGCTAAAGCCCTCGCTTCTCAAGCTCGGTCGCCTGGCTCGAGACCCTGGTTCGAACCCGGGCCCGGACTTTTCCCTCTCAATTTTGTCAATCTTTTGAATGAAATCAAGATGGAATCGTTTGAATTAATGAAACAGATCGAATAATCCGTTTCGAGAATGAGTTTTCACGGAGAAAATCGGATAATTGACTGAATTCTAATGAAAAGAAACGCTGAATGACCACAAAAACTCAGAAAAGTTTCGGAAAATGAGAAAAAGAGAGGGATTTGGAGGAGGATTAGTAAATGTTACAAATTCAATGAAAATTAGTAGGATTGAGGGAAATTTCTTGAAAAATCAACTCTCCCACCCCCGCAGACAAGAGAAAAATGAGGAGTTTGTAAAGAAAAAAAGGGAAACTTCAGAGGAAATTCGGCTCGGAAATTGTCGGTTTTGAAAGGGTTTCCTCTATTTTTTTCGTGATTTCCAAGAATTCGCATAAAGGGAAATTAAAGCTGAACTCGCAAATTACTCGCAGTTTTGATGCGTTAATCAGTGAGCATCGATCAACACCAGTGCACCAGATCGTTTGTGTTTACGTGCTCGAAAACCCGATTCAGTACTTTGTGCTTTGTGCTAAACGCACTCTTTCTAGTGTACTCGAATTTTTGTTTTCAGTCTCATAGAAGAGAGAAATGATCGGTTTGAGGTTTTTTTTTGTTTTTATAAACGAAAAACGTTTAGAACAATGGCACAATGGTAGTTTTAATGCTAAAATGCGGTGGGCTAGAAAGCTAGCGTTTACACACATAGCCAAAAAACAGTACAGCCAAAAAAAAGGAGAGAAAATCCCTCAGAAAAACGATGAAAATTCGAAAAACTCTCAAATTTTTATCAAAATCGATAAAGATTAATCTTCTAAATGAAAAAAATTTTAAATAAATCGATTTTTAATGGAAAGAAATCCATTTTCTGAATGATTTCAATGCAATTTAATCTTTTAAAAACACAAAAATTCGAAGAAACAGGGGAATTAGAAGAGATAAATGTAATTTTTAATGTAACAAATTGCCAACAAATGAAACTTGGGTAATTAAACCGGAAGATGGTTGTTTCTAGCGGCCTTTATCTGGGCCAGTGTGCCAGAAGGCAAGCGATTGTGAGAACTTACAAAGAACAAATTGCCAACAAATGAAACTTGGGTAATTAAACCGGAAGATGGTTGTTTCTAGCGAACTTTAGCTGGGCCAGTGTGCCGGGCAAGGTTGTGAGAAAGTACAAGGGGCAATTGCCCCCCGGTTGGGTCCGGAGTGGTTGTTTCTAGCGGGTTTATCTGGGCCAGTGTGCCAGAAGGCAAGCGATTGTGAGAACGTACAAAGAACAGATTCCAAACAAATGAAACTTGGGTAATTAAACCGGAAGATCGTTGTTTCTAGCGAACTTTAGCTGGGCCAGTGTGCCAGAAGACAAGCGATTGTGAGAAAGTACAAAGAACAAATTGCCTACTAATGAAACTTGGGTAATTAAACCGGAAGTTGGCTGTTTCTAGCGGAATTTACGTGGACCAGTGTGCCAGAAGGCAAGCGATTGTGAGAACGTTATCAATGAAAAAAATCCATTCTCTGAATGATTTCAATGCAATTTAATCTTTTAAAAAGACGAAAATTCGAAGAAACAGGGGAATTAGAAGAGAAAAATGTACTCAAAATGACCAGCTGACTTGAATTTTCCCTCTTTTTTTAAATTGAAAATTAGAACTTTTCTAACTAAAAAAAATGCAGACAGATTAATGAAAAATGAAAAATTTTTGAGGAAAATCAACTCCTCGAAAAAAAAAAAGAGTTGATTAGGGGAAATTTTTCTTTTTTTCTTTCCATTTTTCATGAACTTTGCTCAAGAAAATTGATGTGAAAATGAGAAAAGGAAACGAGATAATTAGATGAAAAAATATCACGAGATTTCCGCGAGAAT